GAATCAGACCTTTTCCAACAGCAACACAACCTTTGAGCTGCAAAAAACTATATAATTATTTGTAATTAAAGGACGTCTCATCCTGCATCACATCTGTGTCATTGTAATAAAATAGAAAAACTTTCAAACAGATGAAAGATTTCCAACTCACCTGAAACTGTTACAGTGATGACATCACTCCACTTTGTGATGGAAAACTCGTCCCTTCTGCCCCGACAGCTGAATTCTCCACTGTCAGAAACTCTGATTTTTCTGGATGTTTCAGAAATGTTTAACCAGTTTCGTCTCCATTCATACTTCCACTGAGTTCCTCCTCCTCCTCTAATCTGACATGTGGCAGTGACTGTCTCTCCTCTGTATATCAGAGTCCAGCTGGGCTGCAGGACCACTGTGGGCTTCGGGGAAACTGTTCACATAGAAACAAACACTTAGAGCACCAACACACACTCAGTCAACACAAACTGTTTGATTATTTTTACAGTTTTCTGTTATTGATTTTCCTGTCCTTTAATCAGAGTTTCACTAAAGAACCAAAATGCTATTTTCAACATGACTGATAAACCGATGAAAACTTAAAGACTTATTGCTGTTTTATTTCAGAACAAATGAAAAAACTCACGAGTTTCCTCAATGACGACTTCTCCGCTGTGATCCGTGTAGAAAACTCGTCCTCCTCTTCCTCTTCCTCCTCTGCAAATGTATAGACCTCCCTCTCTGATGACTTTACTGTTTGCTCTGTGGTGAGCTTCAAGATAGACTGACACACCATTTCTGAACCAGTCAAAGCTCCATCCATCATAGCCGTCCTCCACAGAGCAGGTCAGTGTCACACTGCCCCCTGCTGGTATGATTGTGCTCCGTGCTCTCAGAGAGGCTGCAGGTCTGTCGGCTGTTGAGTTTACGGGGAAACAGAGAAAAATCCCATCAAAGGCAGCCTGACATAGATCAGCTATTCAGCTGTTTGTGTCTCCTCCTCTGGTTTCCTTCATGTTTGTCTGGGATAATCCCTTCTTCCCCGACAGTGAAGTCTCCACTGTGGAAGTCAGGGCTCTGATTATTTATCTATTTATTTATTTATTTATTTATTTATTTATTTATTTATTTATTTATTTATTTATTTATTTATTTATATATTCATTTATTT